TAAGAACAAAGTTAAACTGCTGTAGGGTAGGCTTTTTGTTTTGAGACAGGGTCTCATTCTGTCGCCCAGGCTGGAGTACACTGGTGTGATCTTGGCTCACTGCAACCTCCACCTCCTAGGTTCAAGCAATCCTCCTGCCTCAGCCTCCCTAGTAGCGGGGACTACAGGTGTGCACCACCACACCCAGCTAATTTGTATATTTTTAGTAGAGACAGGGTTGTACCACGTTGGCCAGGCTGGTCTCCAATTCCTGTCCTCAGACGATCTGCCTACCTCAGCCTCCCAAAGTGCTGGGATTACAGGCCTGAGTCACCACACTCGGCCTATGGTAGGCTTCTGTATTCCTGTTGGTAGCAGTTATCTCCAACGAGCAACAACAACAATGAAATCTGGGCAGTTTCCACACTTAGAGATCTCCAATCACATAGACAGTCCCTACTAAAAAGACTTGGGCATTCATACTTTTCACTAATGATTAGTTTCCACCTCAAAAATGCTGCTCAATTTTACCCACACTGCAGACTGTGCACTGCCAACTTCTCCCCAGAAATTATGGTCATATCAGGAGTTGGGCATGGGGGCTTACGCCTATACTCCCAGCACTTTGGGAAGCCAAGGCAGGCAGATTACTTGAGGCCAGTAGTTTGAGACCAGATTGGTCAACATGGTGAAACCCCATCTCCACTAAAATACAAAAATTAGCCAGGCATCATGGTGTACACCTGTAATCCCAGCTATTCAGGAGGCTGAGGCAAGAGAATCACTTGAATTCATGAGGCAGAGGTTGCAGTCAGTGGAGCTCATACCACTGCCTTCCAGCCTGGGCAACAGAGCAAGACTCCATCTCAAAAAAAAAAAGTAAAATTAAAAAGATAAAAGGATGCTATGAAAAAAGGTAAAAAGAAAGCAAGGAAACACAGATGCCACTGGAGAGAGTTAATTTCACAGGGAAGCGGTTCAAATACGAATGACCTTTTAGGATAACTACTTTAAAAATGAGGGGAGAATACTTCAAATTTTAAACAGGGGGTGAGGCTTGGGGAAGGGGAGACACGACATTTATAACCTGACCCTCAACATTCACTTAACTCATCTCACTCTTCTACACACTATGTCCTGGAACTTCATTAGAAACTCCAGAAAATAATCCCAAGGAAGACCAGGGAGAAGCCCTGCCCCCCAGCCACTATGGTCAAAGCCACACCCACTAATTATTAATGGAAGCTAAAGTGAAATGAAACTGACCTGTCCCTGAAAGCCCACAGATCCAGGCTTAAAACCTATCTACCAAACCTAGCAAGGTGTGCAAAGGGCCAAAGCAAGGGCAGGAGTCTGGTTTGAGTCTAAGAGTACAACCTACGTTAGAGAATGTTCCCCTCACAGAGGTTCCACCAATTTCTTTGAACTATGAGGCAGCTTCCCAAATGCAAGCAATCAATACAGAAAAAATTCAAATGTGAAATTTTTAAAACACATACTGTCCTGGTTTATAGTATTATTGTTCAGCAGGTTTTTAAACTTTATATAAATTACATCATACTGTATACTTATTCTTCAGCAACTTGCTATTTTAAGCTCAAATTTATATTTTTAAGATTTATTCATCTATTATCCCAGCACTTTGGGAGGCCAAGGTAGGAAGATCACTTTAGTCGCAGTTTGAGACCAGCCTGGGCAACATGGCAAGACCCCATCTTGACAAAAAATTTAAAACTTAGCCAGATGTGGTGGCACATATCTGTATTCTCAGCTACTGGGGAGGCTGAAGTGGGAGGATCGATTGAGCCCAGGATGTCTAGGCTGCAGTGAGCCATGATCACACCACTGCACTCCACAGCATGGGCAAAAGAGTTAGACCCTGTCTCCATTTAAAAAAAAAGGGCCAGGCACGGTGGCTCACGCCTGTAATCCCAGCACTTTGGGAGGCCGAGGTGAATGGACCACGAGGTCAAGAGATTGAGACCATCCTGGTCAACGTGGTGAAACCCCGTCTCTACTAAAAATACAAAGAATCAGCTGGGCATGGTGGTGCGTGCCTGTAATCCCAGCTACTCAGAAGGCTGAGGCAGCAGAATTGCCTGAACCCAGGAAGCAGAGGTTGCAGTGAGCCGAGATCACGCCACTGCACTCCAGCCTGGGTAACAAGAGCAAAACTCTATTTCAAAAAAAAAAAAAAAAAAAAAGAACAACCAGGTGGGGGTGGGGTTGTTATTCATGATGACATAGGCAGTTCCTCCTTAGTCACTGTAATAACTAAGTAACATTCATGATAGGAATACATAGTTCTTCACCCAATCTCCTGTTAATGAAAATTTAGATCATTTCCTATTGGTCACTAACACAAAAACAGGTTAATAACTAAATATCTACTTCAGTAATCAATGTTTTGCCAGTTGATTCAATAGCCAACTACTCAAATATGGAAAATTCTATAGCCTATGAGCTCTGAAATCACAGAGACTTAGGGTCTATCTCTAGGACCCACTCTGTGTTTTTCTGGCCAATTGTTTAAATCTCCCTACACCTCAGTTTCCTTGTTTGTAAAAAAAAGAAACAAAGAAAGAATTAATAAAAATTACTTCCTGGCAAGGCCCAGTGGCTCATGCCTATAATCCCAGCACTTTGGGAGGCCGAGGTGGGCGGATCAGAAAGTCAGGAATTTGAGACCAGTCTGGCCAAGATGGTGAAACCCTGCCTCTACTAAAAATACAAAAAATAGGCCGGGCATGGTGGCTCGTGCCAAGAGAATCTCTTGAACCTGGGAGGCAGAGGGAGGTTGCAGTAAGCTGAGATTGTGCCATTGCACTCCAGCCTGGGCAACAAGAGCAAAACTCTTAATCAAAAAGTAAATAAATAAACAAACAAACAAAAAATAGCTGGGCATGGTGGCGAGCACCTGTAATCCCCGCTACTCGGGAGGCTGAGGCAGGAGAATTGCTTGAACCCGGGAGGCAGAAGTAACAGCGAGCCAATTTCAAGATCGCACCATTGCGCTCCAGCCTGGGTGACAGAGCAAGACTCTGTCTGGGGGCGGGGAGGAATGAAGGTGGGGGGAATCACTTCATATGCATATTGAAGAGGATAATTTAGAGCATTTAGTCTAGCACACAGTACACATTCAACAAATGATAGCTACTATTAACATCTCTTTTCAATCAAAATGATTTAAAACATGGCAAAACCCCATCTCCACAAAAACAAAAACTAGCAGAGCGTGGAGTGCATGCCTGTAGTCCAGGCTGAGGTAAGAGGAACTCTTGTGCTGGGGAAGTCAGGGCTAGTGAACCATGATCATGGCACTGAAAAAGCTAATAATTAAATTATTGTAACAGATTTTAGTGTGTAATCATTAAGTTATTTGTGAGAAGACTGAACGATACATCTTCAGCATCAATCTATCCCACTGACTTAAAACAAAGGGTATTGACAGACACTAAATTTCTCCCCTTTTGCACCAGAACCTAAAATAAGGGCTCCAGGCCGGGCACAGTGGCTCACAGCTGTAATCCCAGTACCTTGGGAGGTGGAAGCAGAAGGATCACGAGTTCAGGAGATCGAGACCATCCTGACCAACATAGTGAAACCCCGTCTCTACTAAAAATACAAAAAATCAGCCAGGCGTGGTAGTGCCCGCTTGTAGTCCCAGCTACTTGGGAGGCTGTGGCAGGGGAATCGCTTGAACCCAGGAGACGGAGGCTACAGTGAGCTGAGTTTGCGCCACTGCACTCCAGCCTGGGTGACAGAGCAAGACTCCATCTCAAAAAAAAAAAAGTGGGGAGGAGGTATCCAAATCTACACAAAACTCAAAGAAAAAAACAGCAATGGTCATGTAATTATTAAGGTAGATTAGTCTTATTTCTCAAAAAACTTACCAAGTTGGCTCACCAAAAGGAGCAAAGTCTTAAGTGAACAAATTAAATCCCTCTTTGGCTTCCCAAACCTAATACATTCTTGTTAAACTTTAACAAAGTAAGTAAATTCCGACTGCTGGCTGTTCAGTGTAAGGATAATTATTAAATGCTGTTAAGTAAAAATGCAATTGTAAGAACTAGAAAGTGCTGAGGCACTGTCTCAAATCACAAGGTTTTAAATCTCAGAATTCACTATGAGAACATATATACAGATTTTTTCCTTTAACTTTAAAAATGCAGTCTGAAAGAAAATGCATCATAATGTTATTAGTGGTTATCTCTCAATAGTAGATAGTCTGTGTGCTTTTAGTTTCTTTTTTGAAAATTCTCTCCAATTTTTCTACAATGAATATGTTAGCTTTATAGTTACAGAAATATTAATGCATGGCTTAAACTTATTAAGGTGTCATTAAATGCAGAAGAGAGCTTAATACAATTTCCATTCAACTTTAAACACAGCTACTTTTCTGATGGGAAACTCATTTTATGTGACCTCCTTGTGATATTGTATATTGGTTTTCATCCATGGTTCCTGGCTCATAATTCCCATAACTCTCTTTTGTTATACTGTTGGGGTGCTTTAGGTCTCAAAAGCAGTCCTCAAAAAAACAATCTCTCTCTCTCTCTGACATTCTCCTGCCCCTCCTTTCATCTGCTCCTTTTTCTCCACAAGGCAGGACTCTAATTTTCCCCTGCTTTTCTGTCTTGAAGCTGGCTGTAAAGAAATTCTCTGAGGGAGGGGTTGGCGGGGGGTGATCAAAAAAAAAAAAAAAAGAAAGAAAGAAATTCTCTGAGCCGTAAGCAGGGGCTCACACTTATAAGCCCAATATTTTGGCAGGCCAAGGTGGGAGGATGGCTTGGGACCAGGAGTTCGAGACCAGCCTGAGCAATATAGTGAGACCCAGTCACTACTAAAAAATTTTTAAAAGAGGCCAGGTGTGATGGCTCACATCTGTAATCCCAGCACTTTGAGAGGCCCAGTCAGGTGGATCTCTTGAGGTCAGGAGTTCGAGACCAGCCTGGCCAACATGGTGAAGCCCTGTCTCTACTAAAATACAAACAAAATTACTCAGTCATGGTGGCACATGCCTATAGTCGTGAGGCTGAGCCAGAAGAACTGCTTGAACCCGGGAAGGTGAAGTTTGCAGTGGGTGGAGATCGCGGCACTGCACTTCAGCCTGGGCAACAGGGTTAGGCTCCATCTGTAAAGAAAACAAATATTTTAAGAAATAAAAATAATTTTGGCCAGGTGCAGTGGCTAACGCCTATAATCCCAGCACTTTGGGATGCCAAGGTAGGTGGATCACTTGAGGTCAGGAGTTCGAGATCAGCCTGGCCAATATGGTGAAACCCCATCTTTACTAAAAATACAAAAAGTGAGACAAGGAGGTTGCAGTGAGCCAGGATCATGCCATTGCACTCCAGCCTGGGCAGCAGAGCAAGACTCGGTCTCTAAATAAATAAATTTAAAAATTCTCTGACCTCCCTTGTGTGATTATAGGTCATAAGATCCTCATTTCAGAAGGATGAGGATCCTGCCCGTACCTTGAAGGAAGGAATGCCACACAGAGAGGCCAAGAAAATTCTGAACAGATAGGCATTGCTGGGTTTCCCTACTCCATGCTTCAATTTTGTCTACCCAATGAAGTCTCCAGAAAAAGTCCAAGAAGGTGGGGTGTGGTGCCTCATGCCTATAATCCCAGCACTTTGGGAGGCTGAGGTAGGCAAATCATCTGAAGTCAGGAGTTCAAGACTAGCCTGGCCAACGTGGTGAAACCCCTCTCTACTAAAAATACAAAAAATTAGCTGGGCGTGGCCGTGCTTGCCTGTAGTCCCAGCTGCTACAGAGGCTAAAGCAAGAGAATCACTTGAACCCGGGAGGTGGAGGTTGTAGTGAGCCAAGATCGCCACACTGCACTCCAGCCTGGGTGACAGAGCAAGACTCTGTCTCAATTAAAAAAACAAAAAAAGCCCAAAAAGATGGGGTAGGGAGAGCTTCTTGATATCTGAACACATGGAGGTTCTTGGTGGGTGGCATGTCCCTTCCCATACCTCACTCTTTGCACCTGTTCCTCTTGTATCCTTTGTAATATTCTTGATAATAAATCAGTAATAAACCTAAGTTAAGTGTTTTCTTGAGTTCTGTGAGCTGCTCTAGCAAATTAACCAAACCAGAGGAGGGATTTGTGGATTCCCAATTCATAGCCAGTTAGTCAGAAGCCAGGGTAAAACAATCTAGGACTTGTGACTGGCATCAGAAGTGGGACCAGTCTTAATGGGATCTGACACTATCCCCAGGTAGATAGTGTCAGAATCGAACTGGAAGATGCTCAGCTATTGTTCGATGCAGAACTGATTGGCCCACACATTTATTTGATCACAGAAGTCTTCAGTGTTGATTGTGATGGCGTGAGAGCAGAGGAAAAAGTTTTCTTTTCTTCTTACCCCTAATAGGATCTGGACTAGTAAGGGCAAATCTCTTCAGAACTCATTTTATAAGTTCTGTCCATAAGTATCTTCCACTTCCATATTTATTAACTTTCTTATTATCTTTGTGAAAGTTACAGACACCAGGACAAAATCACTTTTTGTCACACCCAAACAAACTAGAGACGGAGAAAGTGAGGGATAAGGCTCATGCTTGCATGTCTGAGATAAAGATCTCTCAAGAACTTTAAAATAACTCCACAAGAAATTCTTTCTTTAGGAATGCAGTAATTCAGATAAGATAAGATAATCTTTTTCTTTTCTTTTCTTTTCTTTTTTTTTTTTTTTTTGAGACAGGGTTCTTGCTCTGTCACCCAGGCTGGAGTGTGGTGGTACAACCACAGCTCACTGCAGCCTCCATCTCCTGGGCTCAAGCAATCCTCCTGCCTCAACCTCCTGACATACCTGGCCATTGAAAAAGTGTTTTCTGTCAAGGCAGCCATGTTGCACAGGCTGGTCTCCAACTCTTGGTCTCAAGGGATCCTCCTGCCTAAGCCTCCTAAGTAGCTGAGATAACAGGCATGAGGCAGGGCACCAGAACTGTTAAGACACTCTCCATAACACCTGCCCAGTAATGGCATCTTCACCAATGGTCAACTATGGCTTTGAGTCTCTAAAACCAATAAATGGTTGTGCATCTCAGGCTATAATTCTCATTTCTCATTCACAAATAAATTCAACATATTTGGAGTGTTCTGTTGTTGTTTGTTAACATCTTAAAGGCCATTCGGGACCCTAAAAAAATCAAAGCTCACTTTAGCTAAAAGGCTCAATCTCACCTAACATTTTTCTAATGCTGCAAACAGAGTTAAGTTTGTTTTGTTTGTTCTTGCTGCCCAGGCTGGAGGGCAGTGGCGGGATCTTGGCTCACTGCAACCTCCGCCTCCAGGGTTCAGCGATTCTCCTGCATCAGCCTCCAGAGTAGCTGGGACTACAGATACGCACCACGCCCAGCTAATTTTTGTATTTTTAGTAGAGACAGGGTTTGTGTTGGCCAAGATGTTCTCGATATCCTGACCTTGTGATCTGCCCGCCTCTGACTTCCAAAGTGCTGGAATTACAGGCTTGAGCCACCGCACAGGGCCTGTTGCTGTTTTTTGAGATGGAGTTTCTCTCTGGTCGCCCAGACTGGAGTGTAATGGAGCAATCTCAGCTCACCACAACCTCAGCCTCCTGCCTCAGCCTGCCGAGTAGCTGAGATTACGGGCGCCCACCAACACGCCCAGCTAATTTTTGTACTTTTAGTAGAGACAGGGTATCACCATAGTGGCCAGGCTACTCTGGAACTCTTGACCTCAGGTGATCCACCAGCCTCAGCCTTCCAAAGTGTTGGGATTCCAGGCGTGAAGATTTACGTTTTTAACTGCTGACCCCACCCCCACTCCTTTCAGATAGATGTGTGCAAATTAATTGGCAGCCACTAGGAACTCAGCCCAAAATGTGGTAGTATCATCCTCAGTGGAACGGACATAGTCCTTCTGGGTTTCCAAAGGCTTCTTCATTCACTTAAGAAACACTTGTCGAGCACTTACCAATAGCGAGACCCTAAATGCAGTCGAGAAATAAGGCCCAGAAGGGGGCACCCTCCAAATGGCAGAGGCGAGCCAACAAACAACAAACTCGAATCCAAAGTGACAAGAGCCACCTGGAAATATGACAAAGTGCCAGGTGAAGGGTGTTTGTTCACTTAATTTGGCCGGTGTACGGGATGGATGGGGCGATTTGGAGGTTGGGAGTCATCTGAAAATGCTTTCCTGAGCTTGATTTAAAAGCAGGAATCCAAGAATTCCCCTAAGGCCGGAAGCACTTTCCAACACAACCTCCCCATCTACGTAGCAGGGCTGGCAGAGCCCAGGGCTTGAGCACTGGCTTTGGGGAACCTCCAAGGCCCGGCCCAAGTCGCCCCCTCAGCCCGGCTCTGAGCACCCCCTCCTCTTTGTCCCCTCACCCCCGTTCCTTCCTTCCACGGCCACCAATGGAGGGAAAGACTCCGCCCAGCTCTGGGAGCGAAACACAGGCACCGATCTGGGCGCAAAATCGGATCCGCGCCACCCCCGAACACCAGTGGGCCGAGATTCGAGGCCCGAAAGGCCTGGGGAGGCGGGGCGGGCGGGGCGGCGCGGCGGGGCCCCTACCCGCGGCCTCAGCGAGCCCAGCGCGGCAGGACTGGGGTCACCCGGGCCCGACGCAGGAGGAAGGCACCCCCGCCCCGCCTCCCGGGCCAGTGCGGACGCACGCTGCGAACGCCCCATCCCCTCCGAGGGACCTCCGAGCGCCCAGCGGCGCCCTCCCCCTCCGGCTCCCACCCGCTCCAGCGGGCGGGCGGAGAGCGCGCGGGGGCAGGGCAGGCAGGCCGGGGAAGCCCACTAGGAAGCTGGCCCCCGCTGGCCTCTAGGCGCGGGGATCCCCAGGGACAAGCGCGCACCGCACAGCCGGGACCCCACGCTTTACCTGGTGTGCCGGAGGAGCAGGTGGGAGCCCCGACCCAGCCGGCTCGGTGTCGGCCGTACCTCACCTGGGCGGAAGTGAGAGGCCCAGGGTGACCGCGCCTCACCTGGCAGGCCCTCCCCTCGCCCCGACTCTCCCCGCCCGGGGCGGGGCGCCGGGGTGGCGCGGGGGGCGGGCGAGGGAGCCGGGGGCCGCGGGAGGCAGGCTGCAGCCGGGAGGGCGGTTGCCCTAGCTGTTTAGTGCAGGTGAATTCCGACCCGGCGCGGGATGGCCAAGGGCCTGAGAAGAGTGGGCTATGGGGGCCAGGTGGGCGGATGAGACCCCGCGTGGTAGGGGCAGCTGGCACTGACAGGAAGGGAAATCCGGACCGACCGGTGTGGTTGGAGGCATGCTTGGAAAGCGAGACCCAAGATCAAGGAAATTGAGGAGTATATCGATGAAAGCGTTGGGTCAATCTGCTTAGCACTTGCCTTTTTGCTCTTTCCTGTTCCCTCATCCCTCCTTTGTTTTCTATATCCGCTGACACAAAATAAAATATTCTAAAACGTGTAAATGTGGGAGCATTATTTTCTTCTCCTTTAGTGGAAGAAAGAAACACATCCAGCAGTATTTGCCTGCCCTGTGCTGGCTGCTAGATTATACCTTATTATCTCATTTACTCTCTGAAGAAACTGATGAGGAAACCGTGCACCAGGTAGGTTGGGCCAAAGTTTGGAACACAGGCAAGGCATTTTGACTTTAACTACAGTGACGATTTCACTATACATTAATTTTTTTTATTTGTGATGTCACAGCTTCGAGAAAAATATGCCCCGATGGTATTCTTCTACTCCCTTTAATAACTTTAGACTTTTTTTTTAATTTTTTTTTTTTTTTAAAGACGGGTTTTCACCGTATTGGTCAGGCTGGTCTTGAACTCCGACCTCAGGTGACTCTCCCGCCTTGGCCTCCAAAGTGCTTGCATTACAGGCCTGAGCCACCAAGCCTGGCCAACTTTAGACTTTTGATGATAGGGGTTTCTAATACAGTCCACATATTAACAATAAAGAGAATCAATCTTCAGGTATCTTATAGAGTACATACAGTAATAGTTAAACACTGTGGTTGACTCTGGGAAGATGTGTAAAATGGCATCCCTGTTCCCAGGAAGATGAGGAATAGGTACAAAACAACTGCAACATAAAGACTTAAAATCATACACTTGGGAGCTGGGCACGGTGGCTCAAGCCTGTAATCCCAGCACTTTGGGAGGCCGAGGCGGGTGGATCACGAGATCAAGAGATCGAGATCATCCTGGTCAACATGGTGAAACCCCGTCTCTACTAAAAAAATAGAAAAAATTAGCTGGGCATGGTGGCGCATGCCTGTCATCCCAGCTACTCAGGAGGCTGAGTCAGAATTGCCTGAACCCAGGAGGCAGAGGTTGCAGCAAGCCTAAATCATGCCACTGCACTCCAGCCTGGGTGAAGAGAGGGACTCCACCTCAAAAAATAAAACAAAACAGGCCAGGTGCGGTGGCTGAAGCCTATAATCCCAGGACTTTGGGAGGCCGAGGTGGGTGGATCACGAGGTCAAGAGATCGAGACCATCCTGGTCAACATGTTGAAACCCCATCTCTACTAAAAATACAAAAAATTAGCTGAGCATGGTGGTGCGTGCCTGTAATCCCAGCTACTCAGGAGGCTGAGGGAGGAGAATTGCCTGAATCCAGGAGGCGGAGGTCGCGGTGAGCCGAGATTGTGCCATTGTACTCCAGCCTGGGTAACAAGAGCAAAACTCTGTCTAAAAAAAAATGTTAGCTGGGGGTGGTGTTGTGCACCTGTAGTCCCAACTACTCGGGGGGGCCAAGGTCGGAGGCCCAGAACTTGAGTCTGGGAGTTCAAAACCAATCTGGGCAACAGAGCAGGACTCCATCTCAAATTAATTAAAGATCATGCACTTGGTGCTTTATAGTTTGCTTCCCTGTTTCAAAAGAAATATAACACTTGCTAGGTAGGCATGGTTAGAAGACACACAATATCAGCATGGTTCCTGCTTTTTAGTAACTAACAAACTACTGAGGGAAATAACATTTCGCAAGTTACCAAATAGAAGGAAGCCAGACCTCAGAAAATGAAGAGATCTATTTTGAAGAGATCTGTTTTTTGAAAGCATGAGTTAGAACTTAAATAGATCTTAACCATAGTTTGAGAGTAATTTAAGTAAAGTGGAGAAGGAAAGGCTTTCCAAGTAAGGGGGATAACATAAAGAAAAGTGGTGGTCGGGTGAGAAAAGTGAGGGGATTGAAAAACCACCTGTCAGGTACTATGCTTCTTACCTGGGTGATGAAATGATCTTGAAATGATCTACATATCAAACCCCCTTGACACACAGTTTGCATATGTAACAAAACGGGGTGTTCTGGGTTTTTTGTTTTTTTTTTTTTCTTTGAGATGGAGTCTTGCTGTCACTTGCTGGAGAGCAGTGGTGCGATCTCAGCTCACTGCAACCTCCGATTCCCAGGTTCAAGCTGTTCGCCTGCCCAAGTATCTGGGATTACAGGTGTGCGCCACCATGCTCAGCTAATTTTTTGTATTTTTAGTAGAGACAGGGTTTCACTATGGTGACCAGGATGGTCTCTATCCCCTGACCTCATGATCCACCCACGTTGACCTCCCAAAGTGCTGGGATTCCAGGCATCAGCCATTGCACCTGGCCCTTTTTTTTTTTTTTTTTTCCGAGAAGGAGTCTTGCTCTATTGCCCAGGCTGCTGGAGTGTAGTGGCACCGTCTCAGCTCACTGCAACCTCCACCTCCCAGGTTCAAGCGACTCTCCTACCTCAGCCTCTCAAGTAGCTGGGAGTCCAACCGCCTGCCATCATGGCTAGCTAATTTTTGTATGTTTAGTAGAGATGGGATTTCACCATGTTGGCCAGGCTGGTCTCAAACTCCTGACCTCGTGATCCACCTGCGTTGGCCTCCCAAAGTGCTGGGATTACAGGCATGAACCACCACTCCTGGCCTCTTCTTACTTTATTATTTATTTATTTATTTTTAAGACAAGGTCTCGCTCTGTCGCCCAGCCTGGTGCACAGTGGCGCAATCATGGCAGCCTCAAATTCCTAGGCTCAAGTGATCCTCCCACTGCAGCCTTCTGAGTAGCTGGGACCATAGGCATGAACCACCATGCCTGGCTAATTTTTTTTTTCTTTGACACTGAGTCTTCCTGTGTTGCCCAGGCTGGAGTACAGTGGCACAATCTTTTTTTTTTTTTTTTTGAGACAGAGTCTCGCTCTGTCTCACTGGCTGGAGTACAGTGGTGCAATCTTGGCTCAACTGCCTCCCGGATTCAAGCGATTATCCTGCCTCAGCCTCCTGAGTAACTGTGATTACAGGTGCGCGCCACCATACCGGGCTAATTTTTGTATTTTTAGTAGAGACAAATTTCACCATGTCGGGCAGGCTGGTCTCAAACTCCTGACCTCGAGATCCACCCATCTCAGCCTCCCAAAGTGCTGCGATTACAGGTGAGAGCCACCATGTCCGGCTTTTTAAAATTTTTTTTGAGACGGAGTCTCTCTGTTGTAGGCTCAGGTTGAAGTGTAATCTTGGCTCACTGCAACCTCTACCTCCCAGGTTCAAGGGATTCTCCTACCTCAGCCTGAGCAGCTGAGATTACAGGCACCTATCACCACACCTGGCTAATTTTTGTATTTTTAGTAGACACTGGATTTCACCATGTTGGGCAGGCTGGTCTCCAACTTCTGCCTTGGCCTCCCAAAGTGCTGGGATTATGGGCATGAGCCACCATGCCTGGCCAATTTTTTTTTTTAGTAGAAATAAAGTCTCACTATGTTGCCAAGGCTGGTCAAACATTCTTCCCACCTTGGCCTCCCAAAGTCCTGGGATTACAGGAATGAGCCACCACACCCAGCCTGCCTCTTCTTTAATATTAAATGATGTTGTAAACTTATTCCCCCTTTTTTCAAAAAGTTATGTAACTTTAAATTGACCATGAAACCAAGTCCAAACTCCTTTTCTTGCTATTCAAGGCCCTTCAAACCCTCCCCCTCTTGCTGACCCTTCAACCTAATCTCTGCTTGACCTCTGGAGGATCTTACTCTGAGCAAATTTATGTACTCCATATCCATGGAGCACCATATAATGGCTTTTCTATTGGTTACTTACCCTCTTTCCCCTTCAGGGGAAAGCCCTACCACTAGACTCAAATCTAACCTCTTCTGAGAAGCTGCTTCCCCGAACACCCCAGCGAACGTCATCTCTAACAGTTTTAACCTGATTTTCTCTACATTTCTGTGCTGTTAGTTAATTTTATCTCGTCAACCATCCTTCTTCCTTTGTGTTGTTAGTTAATTAATTAATTAATTAATTATTTCAGGCCAGGTGTGGTGGCTCCCGACCGTAATCCCAGCACTTTGGGAGGCCAAGGCAGGTGGATCACCTGAAGTTAGAAATAGACCAGCCTGACCAACATGGGGGAACACCGTCTCTATTAAAAATACAAAATTAGCTGGGTGTGGTGGTGTACGCCTGTAACACCAGTTGCTCGGGAGGCTGAGGCAGGAGAGTCACTTGAACCTTGGAGGCAGAAGTTGCAGTGAGCTGAGATCATGCCATTGCACTCTTGCCTGAGCGACAGAGAAAGACTCGGTCTCAAAAAAAAAAAAAAAAAAATGAGACAGGGCTCCACTCTGTCGTCTAGGCTGGAGAGCAGTGGCAAGATCGTAGCTCATTACAGATTTGAACTCCTGGGCCCATCCTCCCATGTTAGCCTTCCGAGTAGCTGGGACTACAAACATGCACCACCATACCCAGCTAATTTTTAAAAAAAATTTTTATATTTATAGACAAGTTATCTCTATGTTTTTCAGGCTGGTCTCAAACTCCTGGGCTCAAGGGCACCTATTGCCATGGCCTCCCAAAGTGCTGGGATTACAGGTGTGAGCCACCATGCTCTGTCTGTGTTAATTTAATTTGAACTTTTTCTTTTGGCTGTCACTTGGAATTTAAATTTTTAAAAATTTATCCAGGGCTGGGCAAGGCAGCTCACACCTGTAATCCCAGCACTTTGGGAGGCCAAGGCAGGTGGATCATGAGGTCAGGAGATCAAGACCATCCTGGTCAATATGGTGAAACTCCGTCTCTACAAAAAATAAAAATAAAAAATATATATCCAATAGATTAAACAAGATTTGGCTGTACAAGAAAATTTTTATCTCTGAGAATCCTCAAGAGTATCTTTTTTTGGCTGGGCAAGGTGGCTCACGCCTGTAATCCCAGCACTCTGGGAGGCCGAGGCAGGTGGATCACAAGGTCA